AAATGTAAAAAAATGACACAAGTTAGACGGTACGCGGTGGGTGTTATCCGTATAAAATATAACGGTTTCGTTGTGAGTTCCAATAAGACAAAATAATAACATTGTACACTATTTGTAGTTTGGAACGAATCAAGAGTTTACTAAATCTACTTCAAAACCCATTATCCTGTCATGAGACTTTGTTCTTTTCCTCAATACGGGGTGATATGTCCCTTTTTTATTTGTGTTTAGTATGTTGTTACGTACTCAATGTTAAAACAAACGTTTGGGACTATTGATAAATTCATTAAAGTTTGTTACCTCATACGTAAAATTTATACCTTTTACCTCTTCGACGAGTGTCAACGTTATGTTTGATTTTGTTTTTAATTCCTACTTTGTCAAGGTGAGTCTAGGTCCCTTTTATCTTATTCACATTCTGTTTATCAAAAAAAAAATAAACACTTCACATTAGCCGACAAGTTTTTCAGTGTTAAGGAACTGTAAATTAGAACGGCCATAACTATTAAAGGACACTTTTATTTTACCAATTATAAACAACTAATAACATATTATTGACTTTGTCAATAAGGGATACTGCCTGATCGTATAATAAATAGAGTTTTTCTTTTTGTGTAAGAGTGTTTGTCTGCATTAAACACAAATGGACCCGACTCTACGTCCACGATACCTGTCACAACGTCGCGGTGTCATAGTTGTAGACCCGAGACAGGCGATTTTGTCGTACCTACCATAGGAGACTACGTAGACTGAACCTTTTGTGGGTGTGTGTTGTGTGTGTGTGTGTGTGTGGTGTGTGTGTGTGTGTGTGTGTGTGTGTGTGGTGTGTGTGTGTGGTGTTGTGTGTGTGTGTTGTGTGTGGTGTGTGTGTGTGTGTGTGTGTGTGTGTGTGGCGTGTGGTGTGTTGTTGTGTGTGTGTGTGTGTGTGTCATGACATGCAGTAACAAACTCTACCGACTATATGTGACAGTGAACTTTGAGGAACTGGTCGTACATGTGACGTCGTAAAACAATCTTCTTGGTGTGCACAAATAATTATTATTTTTAGTACTATGACGTTCCATACGAGTAAAAAATCTTCTCTTGTATAAAGTTATACGTGATGGTGACCTCTTGTTTAAGTCATACATTACCACTAACGTTACAAGCTTTATTATTACTATTTGCAAAAGTGAGCCGTGACTGAGTCTCATTTGCGAGACATAATCTCTTCACTACTCAAGGTATAAGGTGATTTTGTTACGTGTGTCTGTGAACGGGGAAATCCAATTCACCTGTAAATGACATTACTGTCGAGGTAAATGTCTCTAATTCTTAAGTAGAGAACACATTTTTTCCGTCTTTTAATTCAAAGCGGGTTGCCAAACAATTTGACCCTCAGGAACATAATCTTAAATTGTACCGTAGGTCAGAACCAAAAACTTATGTCTATACGGTAACAATGTAACTTCGTGTGTAGGTTTCAGTTCACAGACCGGGAGTTGTCGACGAACACTCTTCACTTTTCATGTATAAAAATACCTTAAACTTGGTATTATTACTTTGGTAAACGATCCGAAAGACAATAACTGTAGGATTTAAGTATGACATACCGAATGACTTTCAATAGTAAAACCCTATTAACCCTAGTTTACTGACGAGTGGGTGTAGGGGGTGGTTACGTGAACCCGCACACGCATTAGTCTTACAAAATAGAGTGTGTCTATTCGACTGAGTGGTATCATTGTCGGACGGGACGTCGGACGTGTAATTACTTCTTCGTTTTACACTCTATGTTACTTATAGGGCAGATAGTGTTCGAGTAGATATTACCCAACATCCTATCGAAAACTACCCTCTCCTACCGTGCCACTCCTCTTCTGCAATACTTGCGACTATTTTCGAAACTAATAAGCACAAGGACCTAACAAATACGGGTCTGACCCGTTTGGGTGTTGCAGGTTCGAACATAGAATCCGTATAGGGTTGTAATCAGAAACGTCAGGAGGCTGGTTTTTTGGAGGATCTCAGGAAGGTGCCTGACAGGCTTCACATAAACTTCCCCCTAGGTAAAAATCTTAAGTCACAAGTGGGAATCGGTATCAAAACAGAAAAGATTTGTAAAAGTAAGTTGCAAAAAAAAGTAAAGAAGAAAAAAATTTAATTCTGTGTAGTAGTAACATTCAATTTACGTCAACGTTTCTAAATGTGTTGTCCATTAAGGACCGTCTCGTCACCTCTAAATAGTAAGTTCGTTACAACAACATACCTACTCGGGGACCTATAGTTTGTACACTTTTTACAAAAATATTTAAACTTCTCCTGATGTTTTTTGAGTACCGGATGTCCCACATCCACATTAGACGACGATATTGAAGGGACAGGATATTACATGTCTATTGTCCACCTGTACAAAAAGGCAACACCTGTCTACGAGGTCTAAACTAACGTTACTCTTAAGTTTTGTTTTAATGAATGTTTGGTCAAAGGTAATATGCGAAAATGTAGGTTTTTGGTTTCTACTGATTTACAATTTCCCACCCCATACACCCATCAAACCTCTTTGGGCCCGAGCCTCTATGTGAAACAACAACTATAAGGTACTTACGAGAATTGTAGGGTTATCGTTACTTTAGTAATTCACGAACTGTTTTTTTAGGTAATGGTTTTACCAGTTAGACACCTTCGGCGATCCATTACATTTTTCGTGCTTTTAGTGACTGGGCCGGGCCCAGTTCATTGACCTAACCGGATGGACGGACAGTCGGAAGGTAGACACGGGTGTTTGAATAGAGCACCCGGGGGGAGTAAACCATGTACACACGCAAGCACACACAACCCTCCTCCCCCCGAGGACCGATTCCTTTACCCGTCTAAAAAGGGGACCAAAACCACATAAAGTTAAGAATCGCGTGAGCTCGACCAAAGAGGTTTTAATGGAATGGGGGTGGAATTCGACGCTCATCTAACTGATATACGGCTGTGTTAGTACTTTCATTTAGCGACGTAACTTTCAGCGTTAGTTGTAAATACCCACACGGGAACCTCCTTTTTTCCAGGTCGTCCTTTATGATTTACAACATCGATTCGGGGGGTCTGCGATATATTGGATTCAATGAATGAAGTTCACCCACATGTTATGAGGTTTTATAGTGGAACTACGGACCTATGTAAACTGTCCAGTTTATACTTTACCTACGAACACTTAAATTCCCTCGACACGATACACTATCGTCTTTATTTCATGGCCATTATTACGTATGGCTTACCTCCACACAAGAACAGACAGTAATCCCGGAATGTCTAGTATACCGTCTCTATTTACTTTACTCACCTCTTCTTTAGTGTCTGGTT